GAGGGGAGGGGAGGGGAGAACTTTGTGAGTGTTCTAATGTCAGAGAAAATGGAGAGGGAGGAGTCCAGCCCTTACTCATTGGGGAGAGGGAAGAAATTTTCTCGAAGGTCCTTTCAGATTTTAAGATTACATGATTGAAAGATGACTGGGTGAGACATTAGAAATACACATCGGGCCTTGGAGGCCAGTCCAACAGAAATGATGGGATCAGATCATTGCTGGAAGCATCCTCAGCGTTACAGCTCCACACACACCAACCCAGCCAGAAGCAAGTCCCAGCCACCACCCTGTGTAAGGTCTGTCTTTTGAAGTCTCCCTGAGCCAGGTTCCCCTGTTCTGTGATTCTACCACTCACAGGGATGATTCAGGCTGTGGCTGGATTCTTTACGTACTTTGTGATTCTGGCTGAAAATGGTTTTAAGCCTATTGATCTGCTGGGCATCCGCATCAACTGGGAAAATCGATACTTCAATGATCTGGAGGACAGCTATGGACAGCAGTGGGTGAGTAAGAGGGGTAGGGTAGTAGATAGTGACTAGTAAAAGTGAAGAAGTGACAGGGCCCCTGGCTGGTGTGGCTCAGTTGGTTGAGCATTCTCCCATGCACCAAAAGATTGCCCGTTCAATTCCCAGTCAGGGCACATGCCCATGCATACAGGAGGCAGGTGATTGAAGTTTTGATGTCCCACTCTCACATCAATGTCTCTCTCTCTCTCCATCTCCCTTCCTCTCTCTCTAAAAATCGATAAAAACTCTTTTTTAAAAAGAGAAGTGATAGGGAAGAGTGGGTTTATCAAATTTTTGAGGAGTGGGAAAATGGAGGAAGTAGATAGAGTTGATGCCTTATCTCTAGTCCTAGATGAGTATTGTAACTTTCAACCTCATTCTCTAATCATGTCAGCAAATATTCTTCTCTTTTTTACATGACTTCACTTGTGTTCATTCCTACTGTCTGTTGTCTGTCATTACCTTCCAGTATCTTTTGGCTTCCTGGAAGTCTTCTTTGCCTTGTCAACTTTTGAGGTCTGATTTCTGTTTTTCTATCTTCTAAGCATCATTACCCAGTAATGAGTGCTGGGTCCTCTGTCTCCTGTTACGCTCTCTCCCTCGATGGGAGCTCAAATAATATAATTTCAAATCCTAAAACCCATTTTTTTTGTATATCCCTTCTTTGCCATTCTAAATTTTTTTTAGAGAGAGGAAGGGAAAAAGAGAGAGAGGGAGGGAGAGGGAGAGAGAGAAAAAAACATCAATTTGGTGTTCCACTTATTTATGCATTCATTGGTGGATTCTTGCTTGTACTCTGACTGGGAGTCGAACCCACAACCTTGGCAGATCAGTTTGACGCTCTAAGCAACTGAGCTCTCTGGCAGGACTCATTCTAAACTTTTTAAACTTATAGGATTCCTCTCTGTAGTAGTCTTTTCTAACACTCAAGATGAATGAGACCCAAACTGAAGCCCTAAACCAACACTATGTGTTTAAGAATTTTAGTAAGCATGATTTTTTTTATCTGTGAATATTTCTGTCCCAAGTTCTAAGACAGTGGGAGATGTGACACCAGTTATTGCTAGAACCTTGGCACCATAGAGAAAACACAGGCTACTATCATCATCTATAAATGAGGACACTGAGTTGGGAAAGACTTAGTGACTTGCTCAAAGTCCTACTGTGAATCCTAGAAGAGTTGGACTAGAATTCTGGATTGATTCCTGCCCAATACTTTCCTACTTCACCATAGTACCTCCAACCAAGTGAATTGCAAGTTTCTCAAAAGTATATTAAAATCTGGGGTGTTGCCCTACCTGGTTTGGTTCAGTGGCTAGAGTGTCAGCCTGCAAACTGAAAGGTCCCAGTTTCGATTCTGGTCAAGGGCACATGCCCAGGTTGTGGGCTTGTTCCCATCATGGGGCATGCAGGAGGCAGCCGATCAATTATTCTCTCTCATCATTGATGTTTCTATCTCTCTCTCCCTCTGCCTTCCTCTCTGAAATCAATAAAAATATATTTTTTTAAAATCTGGGGTGTTGAAAAGATTCCCCTCACACACAGTGAGCCTCATGAGGTCATCAGATATCAGTGTTTCCAGCTGCCAACACTGCTCCAGAGTCAATGATGCCCTGAGTCCCCATTGTCCATATCACCTCAATCCCCAGTTCAAGCCCTTGTTAGTTTTATGTCTTTTTAAAAATATATTTTTTTATTGATTTCAGAGAGAAAAGGAAAGGAAGAGAGAGAGAAACATCAGTAGTGAGAGAGAATCATTGATCAGCTGCCTCTTGTACACCCCCTACTGGGGATTGAGCCCGCAATCAGAGCATGTGCCCTGACCAGGAATGGAACCTTCTGGTTCATAGGTTGAAGCTCAACCACTGAGTCACACCGACTGGGCAAGTTTGTTTGTTTTTTTTAAATATATTTTATTGATTTTTTACAGAGAGGAAGGGGAGAGATAGAGAGTTAGAAACATCGATGAGAGAGAAACATCGATCAGCCGCCCCCTGCACATCTCCCACTGGGGATGTGCCCGCAACCCAGGTACATGCCCTTGACCGGAATCGAACCTGGGACCTTTCAGTCCGCAGGACGACGCTCCATCCACTGAGCCAAACCGGTTTCGGCGACTGGGCAAGTTTTATATTTTGATACCATCTCCCTGTTGCCAAGATGCAGCTTGACATGTATTCATTTATAATAAAAGTAATTAAAATTATTTTAAAATAACATCAAATCACATCAAAAATCTCCTGAGGGAATGCAGAATGGTTTGAGAATAATCATCCTGAGGCATATGCTCCATAGAGGCAGGGTCTCCGGTATGTCTCTTCCCAGCTGTGACTTCGAGATAATTGAGTACAGAGCTCCGCACCCTGGAAGTACTCCACATATTACTAGAAGCAAGGATAGCTCCTTAGCTTCTAAATATCTCTCACCAGTCATTCCATTGACTACCACTGATTCACTCATTTAGCAAATATTTCTTGAGCATCTTCTATGTACCAGTTACTGTTTTGGCCCTGGAGATATGGTAGTGAACAAAAATGACCAAGTTATTGGTCTTGTGGAGCATATATTCCAGTTAGGGGCTGAGGAGGAAACAGATAATAAGCAAATATAGGACATATTGGGTCAGATGGGGTTGAAATTGAGATATTAGAGTCAGTGAGATGGAAAGGGAAAGATAATGGTCAAAGAGAAAGGAATGCTTGGCATTGGAACTACAAAGAGATTGTAGCTATTGAGAGCACCCTGGAGTTTCACCTGGGAAACAAGCCCAGGTGGGGAGTGCGAAAACCTTCACGGGATGACGGAGGGCGCGGTGCTCAGCAGCCCAGTGCAGTGAAGGAGGGCGGTGGTGAGATCTGATGCACACAAGGAGCCCATCGATCTTTCCAAGTTCAATACTTGGCTCTAATTTTCAGCCTTTGTTTGCTAATCGCTTAAGGCTCTATTGCTCCCTCCAAGTACAACTTTGACCACATTCCATGATCTCTAGTATCTCAGTATTGTTCAGTCCTATGTAGCTTCAACTTCTTTATTCCATCTACAAGAATTATAAACATGCTCTTTCCAGTCTCATTCAGATGCACCTCTTCTGTGTTCCCATAGCCCTGGGTGATGGCTCTCTTACAACTTACCTATTGTACTCACATAACACATCTCCTTCCCCACTAGACTGTAAGTTCCTTACATGGAAAGTGTGAATGAAGGAATGAAGGAATGGAAGGATGCTGTCTCCCATCTGGTGCCACCCTCAGACGTTCTCTCTCCCATCTTCAGATTCCCCTCTGGCCCAACCTTCCTTACTGGCCTCTTCGACTCTGTTTTTCTCTTGAAGCCCATCTTCTTCTCCTACTCCACCCTCCTTATTAACTTAGCCCCGAGCCAAACTATGAGCCAGCCACTGAACTAAGCATGGGAGAGGGACACAAAGATAAGACATGACTTAGGACTCTCTCGGGCCATGAAAACAACTTGTCCCATGGCATGAGAAGTGCTAGGCGAGAGAGGAGCGAAGTGTTGTTGGGAATCTAAGGACATAACTTGGTCTTGGGGTCTGGGGGGGCGGGCGGCAGAGGGAAGACGCCTTTGGGGTTGTCTGAATCCCTTCTGGCACTGCCCACCTCCCCGCAGACCTACGAGCAGCGGAAGGTGGTGGAGTTCACCTGCCAGACGGCCTTCTTTGTCAGCATCGTCATCGTGCAGTGGGCCGACCTCATCATCTGCAAGACCCGCCGCCTCTCAGTCTTCCAGCAGGGCATGAAGTGAGCGCCCCCGAGGGACCCAGTGCGCCCCCAAACCTGCACACAGTGCCGCACGTTGTCCCTTCCCCTCCCTTCCTCCCTGACTCCAGCCTACAATGAAGCACTTTTTCCCCAGAAACAAGATCCTATTGTTTGGCATCCTGGAGGAGACATTCCTGGCTGCCTTTCTGTCCTATACTCCAGGCATGGACGTGGCCCTGCGAATGTACCCCCTCAAGTGAGTAAGAAAGGGATGCGAGTAGGGGGATCTCAGTGCCCAGGGAATATGTGCCTGAGCAGGGAAGGCCCAGCTGGGGCCACCTGGGAAAATGGGGTACACTCAATGTTGTAAAAAGAATTGTCTGTACTCTGACAAATGCTTCTTATTTAGAGAGAGATTGGGGACTGTGGCCAGTCATCACAACCCCCTAGACATGCAAATTGGCGGACTTACCACAATGGCCCGAGTGACTTTTTTTTTTTATGATGATATCTGGTTAGTTGTTCAAGGATACCTATGCTCAGGGCTGAAGCAATCATAAAATTAACCCAATATGCACAGCTAATTCTGTCGTATGTATGCAAATATGTTTTAACATGCCTCTATGTGAATTGGCAGACTGAAAGTCTTACTTGGTCCCTTGTTTGGTTCATGCCTGTGTTTTTGTTTTTCACATTAGTATATGCTTGTGAAAAAATTCTATTTTAAAAACTTTACAGAGGAAAAAACAAAACTCCCATTCCACTCCGCCCCCACTCACCTCCCCTCCTGCATAGAAGCAACTCTGTTAATGATTTTGTGTGCATTCTTCCAACTCATTTTCTCTGCACTTACATACTTTGCTCACCTTTCTGTCCCTTGCAGTGTTTTACACAGTGCTTTGTATACTGTAGGTGCTCAGTTAATGTTTAATAACAGAGATTGCCATGGTTCTTAGATACTGACAATCCCAGGTTTGAATTTCTTTCTTTTTTAAAATTTTATAATTATAGTTGGCATACAATATTCTATATTGGTTTCAGGTGTACAACTTCGTGATTCAACATTTATATACCTTACAAAAGTAATCATCAGAGTAAGTCTAGTAACCATCTGTCACTGTGCACAGTTACCCAGGTTTGAATTTCAACTCTACAGTGTATTATCCTGGTGCCTTGGACAACTTCTTAGCCATTGTAAACCCCAGCTTCATCTGCAAAGTCTCACTAGTACAAACCAGGCAGACTGTTGTGAGGATTAAATGCAGAAATGCATATAATGCACCGAGCCCAGGGCTTGGGTCAGAGTTGGTGCTTGGTTAAAAGTAACTCTGTTATTGTTGCTATTGATGCCAAAGTATAAGTAACAGGAAGTGCAGCTGGACATTGCCTGTTCTCCCAAACACTCTGCATGTACCTGGACCACAAGACTCATCACCTAATATTGAGATTATTTATTTTCTGTGTTTCTTTATCCTCTTTTCCTTGTTTGCCTGAGCTCCTTGAGATCAAAGACCACACGTCATCATTTTTATCTTCCCAGAACCTAACACAAACACAGAGACAACATATGACGATTGTTGTTGAATGAATGGGTGGCAGTATGTCCATCACTGTTTATATATGTGTGTGTGTGTGTGTGTGTGTGTGTGTGTGTGTGTGTGTGTAAATTACCTTGGCCTAGGCCTGTGCTGTCCATGGTCATCTGCCTCTTCACCAGTCCCACCCAGAGGAACGCAGAGGCTAGCACACTAAGCTGGGCCCTGTGACACACTGATGACTGGTTTCTTGTCTCTGCGGCATCACAGATCCCAGAGTGGTTCCTACACACACACACACACACACACACACACACACTCTTCCCTCAGCTTCTCTCTTAACCATGACTTGTCTGCTCTTCTTCCCTGAAATCAACCTTTTGGGTTGCATGTCCCTTGCCTCCCTCATGCTGATTGTTCTCAAAATGCAGGTTTTGTGCTGTCTGCATCAGAATCACCCGGAGCGCCCTGACGATGCTAATTCCTTGGCCCCACTCCAGACCCAGGGAAGCGGGACAGGGGTACCAGGGGCAGAGGCCTGCAGGTCCACCTGCTTAGGAAGGTCCTGCCGCGGTTGCCTGCAGCCCAACACGCCGAGCCGCAGTTTGCCGACCACTGGCTAGACCCCTGATGTGGCATTTATCTCTCCGCTCTCATCCCCAGACTCTGACCTCCTCAGGTGGGGACCAGCCCTCCACCCAATGCCCGTGCGCTGTTCTCCGCGGCTGCCCTTCTCTGGCCCCTCTGTCTCCAGCCACACTGACCACCTCTTGTCCCTACAGGGTACTCTGGTGGTTCTGTGCCACTCCCTACAGCCTTCTGATCTTCGTCTATGACGAAATGAGGAAACTCACCATTCGTACTCATCCTGGAGGTAGGCTCCCAGCACCCCCCTCTGACTGAGTGGTCGCAGCCCGAACTAGCTCTCCCATCCCCCCTGGTTCCGTCAGACCCATTGCCCTTCTCCCCTCCTCACTGCCTGGGCTGTGCATGGACCCCGGTCCTTCAGTCCTCGATTCCACCATCCTGCTCCTTCCCACCCTCGGCGCCCTGCGGTCCACCCTCAGGCCTCCCACCGGGTCCTCGCTCACCCTTCTGCTCACCTCTCCTGGCTGCCTCCCATTGCCTTTCCCGGGTCAATCCGGTCTCTTCTCTCCCGCAGGCTGGGTGGAAAGGGAGACCTACTACTAAACTCAGAAGAGGA